TGGGTTACGACGCCCGGGGAGGGAAGGGCGTGGCGGGCTCCCCACAGGCCCGCGGCCTGGGTCCGCTGCACACCCGCCAGCTGCGGGACAACGCTCCCCTGTGAGCGCAGGCACCGCGCACTTTCCTGGGCTCGACGATGCCGCGCCACGGAGCGCCCGTTACAGAGCAAGGGTACCACACGGTACCCGCTGGCCCCCGGCGCCGGCCGAAGCGCTGGCCCGGAGGGCAGAAGGCTCCGTCCTCTCCCCCGAGGGATGACCTGGTGACACCAGGCCCGCACCGGCTCGCGTTCAATCCACCAGAAGGCTCGGCCGGGAGGAGGAACGAAGGCCAGGCGTGTGGTGAGCCGCCTCTGGTGTAAGAGGTGAGGACACGTGTGCTTGTGTGTACCGGACAGAGAGCCAGGGAGAAGACGGGGGACTTATTAGACGTTTACGCTCGGAAGTCAGAGGGACCGAGGCAGACGGGCTGACAGTGGACACCGTTTCCGGCATCTGACCCGTGGGCTGGGTCACCCGCTCAGAGCAACTAGAAAAATAAAGCTGACAGTGAACCTCCCTTCTCGAGCTGAGGCAGCACTTCCTAAAACAGAGCCGAGACAGGAAACGCTGAGAAGACGACCCGTGAGGGCTGTTCCCGTCCCCAGGGCCGCAGGGGCGGGAAGGTTAAGCAGCAGGCGGGGCTGAGCAGAGCCGTCTGGGACCCACCTTTCTTGTTCAGCTGCAGGACAGAGGGCGGGGGCGTGGCCACCTTCATGGCCAGCCCGTAGGCGCCCCGGAAGGAGTGGCTGTCCCTGACGATGAAGGCCCCGGGCTCCTTGTCCTTCAGCATGGCGATGGCTGCAGGACGGAAAGAGGCGTGAGTGTGTGCGCGGCGGGGACCACGGCCTGGTGGTCGGGGAAGATGTGGCTGCTCTGGTCAGCGGTTCCCACCTAGGTGGAGCTGTGGGCCCCTTTTCGGTGTGGCTGTCACCCGTCGGTCAGGGCCAAGGGCCGAGCCTGGCCCCGCGCTCTCCACCCGCCCCAGGTGAGCGCTGACTGTCACTTAACAAGAGCATCCCTCCCCGCCTCGCCGCTGGGTCGAAGCCTGGCTCCCGCAGGACTTCCACTGACGACACAGGAAGAAAGAGCGATGGATCAGGGCAGTGGTAACCTCAGGCAACCCTGATGGAGCCCAGAGAGGAGCAGAGCCCAGAACTTCCTTCACAGACCTGCACCTTTTATAAGAGACAACCAGGGATTTGAAGTGTAACACAGCGCAGAATGGGAGCCCTGTTAACGACGCCTTTCTGTGGAGCCCGCGGCCCTGTCTGCAGCGGGTCAGGGCCCAGGACACAAACCCGGGAGAGCAGGAAGCCCGTCTGCCTTGGGAAACGCCCTGTCCCAGCCCCAGACGTACCCTGACTCCAGCCCCAACCTCCCAGCCTGGCGAGACACGGGGCTCCTTCTGCACGCTTCTCCGTGGGGCCGCCCCCAGCCCCGCGGGCGAGACGGGGCCCCCAGGCGGGGGCTTGCACACGGCAC